ATTGTCTCGTAGTCTCAAATGGGGGAAGAACAATGGCTATCAACCTTTTCTCTCTCTCTCTCTCTCTCCTCTCTCTCTCTCTCTCTCTCTCTCTCTCCGTCTCTCTCTCTCTTCCGCTATCAACCCCTGCGTTCCGACTGTAAAATCGGATCGTCTCGTACGTGTCTCTTTTTGGCACATGCCCGCCTTGGCTCCCACGCGCCCCCAGGGGATGATAGGCAAGAGGCGGTGGTCAGCTAGCAGAGATTGTTTGAGGAAATGGAAAGGGGCAGGCTAGCAAAGATCACTTAGAACTTCCCGCAGATGGCCATTGCTTTTTCGACTTTCGATCCATCGCGCTAAGCCGGCCTCGGGCCGGAAGTTTGTGGCGTAATCGATTAGCGCAAAGCGGAAAGTTCGTACTTGGTAATCCCAGATTAGAAGAGATAACAAAGTGGCGTGGGTGAATGATGAAAATCGAGTATGAGAGAGGGGAGAGAGAGAGAGAGAGAGAGAGCGAGAGAGAGAGAGACATTGAAGGCTGAAAAGTGGGTTTCGAAGTGCTATGGGGATGCCTTTTAGGGATGGCAATGCTGGCGGTGATGCACATTATCACCAGAGGGCGTCTAATGGAGTGGAATGGAGAGAGAGAGAGAGAGAGAGAGAGAGAGAGAGGCGAGGGAGAGAGAGAGAGAGAAATCGTCCTCCCCCATTGGCAACTCCTCGCCGTCCAAAAAGGGCGTGATGGTCAGCAGATTTCCCTCACGATTTTCGGACCAAAAAACAACCCATTGAAAAGTACAGCTCCCACTAATGCGCGGAGGTACACATTTTAGGAAACCAAAAAGTGTGGTTGCGAGTTGCCTTCAAAGGCTTCAAAAACCTAAGCCTGAACCTAAGCCTAAGCCTAAGCCAAGCCATGCCTTAGCCAAGCCCAAGCCTAAGCCAAGCCATGCCTTAGCCAAGCCCAAGCATAAGCCAAGCCTAAGCCCAAGCCTAAGACAACCCTAAGCCAAGCCTAAGCCGAACCGATGCCTAAGCCTCTGCGTAACCTAAGCCCAAGCCAAAGGCTAAGCCTAAGCCCTAGCCTAAGCGAAGCCTAAGCCAAACCTGAGCCTAAGCCCAAGCCTAAGCCTACGCCTAAGCCTAAGCCTAAGACAACCCTAAGCCAAGCCTAAGCCGAACCGGGGCCTAAGTCTCTGCGTAACCTAAGCCCAAGCCTAAGCCCAAACCTAAGCCCAAGCCTAAGCCAAGCCTAAGCCAAGCCCAAGCCTGAGCCTAAGCCTAAGCCTAAGCCTAAACCTAAGCCTAAGCCCAAGCCTAAGCGAAGGCTGAGCCTATGCCTAAGCCCAAACCTAAGCCTAAGCCCAAGCCTAAGCCTAAGCCCAAGCCTAGTCTAAAAATGGTGGTCTCGGCCGATTATTTCAAGCACGGCTTCCATGTCGTAATCGATTACGCGCTTAAATAATCGCCGCAGGCTGTCGGAATTAGACCGCATAACCGATTCTGGAAACTCAAGCCTGACCCCTCGGCAGGCTAGCAGAGATTCTTTAGGAAAGGGCAGGCTAGCAGAGATTCTTTAGGAAAGGGTAGGCTAGCAGAGACTGTTTGAGGAACTCTGTCTGAGATCAGAGATACCCATGTACGACAAGATCCCTAATGACAGGCGGGTGGGCTAATCCGTTCCGAGTCCAGCGCCGTAGCCGAGAAAACGGTCGGCATCAATTTTTGGGAACCAGGATCGGACAGCTGAATGGCAAGCGGGAGGCGATAACATCTCCGGAGGGGTGGAGATCGGTGTGAAACGGAATTTTCCGGGGATTTTTAGGATAGTGTCCAGATTTTATCGCGTAGTCCGGGATGGGATAGGGCCATTTTAATAAGGTTTCTAGATAGATTCTGCTAGCCTGCCCTTTCCTAAAGAATCTCTGCTAGCTTGCCCTTTCCTAAAGAATCTCTGCTAGCTTGCCCCCACCGTTTTTGAGGTGCAGCTATCCGAGATTCTTTAGGAAGCCGAAAAACAGAACAGACATTGGTTTGCGCGTGGGATTTGGACTTGAAGTTTGCGAATCGTAGCGGAGCGAGATGCCAATCTTGGTCGCACTTTAGGGAATGGCAGACAGAGAGAAAGAGAGTGAGAGAGAGAGGACGGGATCAAGCTCGAAATCTCGGCAGGAGTACGATGGAATCCGGCCGTCTGCGGCAATTCTCGGAGGGAAAGTCGCGTTCGGAGTATCATGGTGGAACTGAGAACGGCAGAGGGAGACTGATATGATCACTGAAATAACTGAACAATTTGATGGGATGAAATGAGCACCAGCAAATCGGCAAGCTAGCAGAGATTCTTTAGGAAGGGGCAGGCTAGCAGAGATTCTTTAGGAAAGGGCAGGCTAGCAGAGATCCCTCAGGAAACTCGAGAAATCGATCGATAGATCACACAGAGCGGAAGTAGTATATTTGTGACGGTTTTGAAGTATGTGGGAGGTGCTTGTGGTTGACGATTTTGAGGAGGCTGATAGGGAGACAAAGAGCCGGAGGGGGATCGGCCGAATCGGACGGGAGAAGCAGATCGAGTGGCGGGCTGGACAGACTAGCAGAGATTCTTTGGGGAATTTGACGCGAGAGAAATCGGAACAAACTAGCGGCCAGCTTTTGGCCCAGATTCTCCACCGACAGGCTAGCAGAGACCATGTGGGAAACGGGGCGGATACCGTAGTTGATGGTTGATTGGCAGTAAAAGTGGGTTGAAATGGCCAGTCGAGAAATAGGGGAAAGTGGTAATGGGGGAATTGGCAAAAAGTGAAGGTCAATCGGTGGGGGGAGGAGAGACGATCGGCTGACCGGAACCCTAGGGAAGTACTACGAAAAAGGTGACCGCGATCTGGAGAGATTCTGGGTGTCTTTGAAGGAAGTGTGACAGGAGCGGCAGAGCGAGAGGGAGCGTGCGAGAGAGGGGGAAAGAGGGTGCGGGAGCGAGAGAGCGAGAGAGAATTATAGATATAGCGAGGGATCGAGTTATAGAGATATAGAAAGAGCGAGCGAGAGAGAGTGAGAGAGAGAGAGAGAGAGAGAGAGAGATAGTGCGAGGGAGAGAGAAGCAGAGAGAGTAAGCGAGAGAGAGAGTGCGATAAAGCGGGAGAGAGAGAGAGAGAGAGCGAGAAGCCAGAGTGAGAGAGATAGAGAGAGAGGGAGAGAGAGATAGAGAAAAGAATTGACAAAGCGACAACTAGCAAAGATTTTCGCCAAACTCCGGTAGCCAGCCAAGATCCTTTGCCTCGCCTGCAACATTTCCATCAAAAACGACAACCAGCAGTAATTTATTTTGAGGATTGAAGCAAATCGCTTCCGGTACCAATTTTAACCAAAAATCCCGCTAGCGCAGATTACCAAAAGACCAAAAATAGCCATAGCACCGTCGATTGTTCAGCTGCGTACAGCCTGCCAGGCAGATCGGGTACAAAGCGATGGCCGCGAAAACGAGGGATGGATGGGGGAATGGGGAAAGCGAGATCTGCCCCCCTCAGTCCTCCACCAACGATTGGCATTGGATGCGAGGCTTCTTCCCCCCCTTCCCCTGGCTTCTCGGTTTCCGCCCGTCGTTTCACTCGACCACAGGACGCCACGCTACACAAAACACGACACAGCGCGGCAACAATAACAGGGCAGAGCTCAAAGAATCGCTGCTAGCCGGCCCTTTCCTAAGGAATCTCTGCTAGCCTGCCCTGTCCTAAAGAATCTCTGCTAGCCGGCCCTTTCCTGAAGAGTCTCTGCTAGCCTGCCCTCTTCCTAAAGAGTCTCTGCTAGCCTGCCCTTTCCTAAAGAATCTCTGCTAGCCTGCCCTTTCCTAAGGAATCTCTGCTAGCCTGCCCTTTCCTAAAGAATCTCTGCTAGCCTGCCCTTTCCTAAAGAATCTCTGCTAGCCTGCCCTTTCCTAGAATAAGACAAATTATGCGTTCCGGAACGCTCCTCGGAACGGCTCTAGGAAGGGATGCAAAAGATGAGGGGCCGGCCAACAAACCAGCCGAAGCGATCCAACAAAAAGCGGTAGCGGCAACACTCTGAAGTGCCCTCCTCATGCTCCACAGAGGCGCTGCTCCTCCGCTACTTTCCTATCCACAGCCGGCTACGCGCAAAAGATGGATGCCAAAAATTGAGGCTGGACAACACCAAAAACCACCCAACGCGGCAGCCGAAATCAAAAAGTGACTCCGCACCTAGAATCTTACAAAAAAAATTCAATAAATCGGGGACACTTTGTGCTCCGTTTTTTTAACTTGGTTGGAAGTTTTGAAAACTCCTTCTATGTCCGTTATCTTTCAGCGATGAGAATTTGAAGGCCTTCCAGCGGTTGGAGGTGATAGAGCAGCTGAAGCCCTACAAAACCATCTAGATTTCAGAAAAAACGGCGCATACATGACAAGATTATACGGTATCTACCTTTGTTCCGCGGCGCCACTCCCAACGACGACTCCCCGTGCTTTCAGCCGACCACTCTCGCGCCGTAATTCCCGGGGGGCTTTCACAATGTTTGCCAAACCTTATAAGAAGTCATATTTTCGCTCTTTTTTAGCGTTAGTATGCTTTTTAGATTTAGTTTTATGCAAGCGCTAAATCAGCCCTAGCCCTGAGCTTATCTCCAAACCCAGCCGAAGCCTAGCCAAGGGCCCGTTAAGCCAGGTCTTGATCGGTTTCTTGTTTCCTACGGAAAATTAAAGCACTACTAAGATCGGAATCCTAAACTTTTGTTGTTTGTCCGAAGTTTAGGGCCTTGGCTTCGATGCCTTTTTTTCCAACTAGCTCAGTTGTGGCCGAAATCGAGAATGGCGGTGACGCGCCGCCTAGGTTTGCGGTTAAAATAAGCTCAAATGCGCCGTTAGAATGGCTTTTAACATTTAGGTAGAGTCTGGGAAACCTCGAACATGCAACATGGCACCAAAACTTGTATTGTACCGCTGTTTCCCCCGTGTTTTCTTCACATATTTCAGTGAAACTTTTAAATTTGCCCTTTTTAGGCCCGCATCATGGTTGACGCGCTCAACTTGAACTTCAACCACGCCATCGCTTCGCCGCGGAATGCCGAGCCGGAGGAGGAAAAGATATGGTATGGTTTTTCCCCTGATATCACTTGATTTTTCGTCTTTCAGGACCAAGATACTGACGGAGGTGAGCGCCAAGTCGCGGAACACGATGCAGGGCGCCAGCATCATCGTGCTCGGTATTTTTACTCGGCGTTTTGCGATGAATATTGGTTTTTCTAGGCGACTCCGCTGCCGGCAAGACAAGCCTCCTCTCGAAGCTCGAGAAGATTGACAACCCCAACAAGGTCCGTGTTTTTGTGCTCATTTTTGATTTTTTTTCGTTTTAGGGTTCGGCCCTCGAGTACCACTGCTTGAGCGTTCAACCGGATGCCCGGGACAGCAGCTACGCCTACAGTCTCGGCACCGCGGGAGGCGCCCTCGGGCCCGCCGAAAATTTAACACTACCGGTACGTTTCCGCGGATCTGCAGGGTTGCCAGAAAAATCGATCCCCTGTTTGGCCGCAGAACTGTCCGATTTGGACGATTTGGGCATCTATTGTAAGTTTTCGGCAACGCGAGAAAACAGGCTCTATTCGTTTTTCATAAAAACCGTTTTAATTCACGAATTTGTGGAGCAAAATCCATGAAAATTGCAGTTTTATGCACAATCCGCTTTTTAAGAAACCATTTCATACCTAGGCGGGCTAAAAATTTTGTAGAACGAAAAGCGCCTGTTTTCTCGCCGTTTCAAGGGCTTTCGGATGGTGCAAAAGTCTTCCCGTTTTTTTTTGGAGATTCTTTATTGTTGCAAATAACCGTGACGCGCGTCGAAATTCCCGCTTTTCATTTTCAACGTTTACTGTAATTTTTTTTCAGCTCTGGGTCCTCGACGGCAACGAGAAGTTCGCCCCGCTGCTTCGCCACGCCCTCTCTGCCAACACGCCCTCCAAGACAGTCGTCATCATCGCCGTGTCGCTCGACAACCCAAGTGCGTTTTTATTCGGTGTTGAAAATGCTTTCATTTTAGGCCCGGTGCACTCGCTACGGCGATGGGCGTCGATCATGGCCAAGGAAATAGCCAGCAAGTACGAGCCGGCGGTGGTGAACGAGGCGAAGCAAGGCCAAGAGCGATTCTGGCAAGAGTACGTCGAGCCGCTGGAATCGTCGATGACCGCCTCGATGGCGCCGGGACTTGAGGACACGGGTAAGCTTTTCGTTAGTCGTTTGGCCCAAAATTCGGGTGAATTCTGCGCAAATTGGTTTCAAACATGCAAAAATTAACGATTTTTCGCTAAAAATGCCCGTTTTCCGTACAAAATGTCAGCTAACCGAGATTTTCTTGGTTTTTTTTATTGATTTCCGCTTAAGATATGGTGAGATTTTGCTAAAAACTGTCAAAAAAAACGTATTATTACGGAACTAGGCGTTTCTGCACTGCTAGGAAAAAAGGTTATAGATTGGCCGATAATGCGAATGCACCTTGTATGGCATTTCAAGTGTATTCACAAATTTTTGGCGTTTTTTGAAGGAATTTTTGCAGGTCTGCTTCCTCTCGAGCAAGGCGTTCTCACGGAGAACTACGGCGTGTCGATGATCGTCGTCGTGACCAAGGCCGACCTCGTGAATGAGAGGAGCGAGCAGACGATGGACAAGGTGCTGTGCGACGTGCGGCGCTTCTGCCTTCAATACGGGGCCGCGCTCGTCTACACGACGACCAAGAATCCGAAGAACACGCAGCTGCTCGCCAAGGTAAACCGTGGCTTTCCGGTTAAAAAGGGCTGTCGATTTCGAAAAAAAACGGAATTATCTTTAGATCGACGAAAAATTTCTAGGCACTTTTCGACCAGAGCGTTTGCTGAAACTTTACCCTCTTATTGCATCAAAATTTATCTCTTTTTCCCGTCAAAAACGTCGGGTTCTTTTACTAAAAACCTTATTAAAATAATTCCTATTATGTTATATTTCTAGACTTTTACAAAAAGGTTTTTGTTTCCCCCAAAATGCGAATGAGCCAAATGTCTTTTTTGGAGATCGATTTCCCAGGAAAATTGTGTCGCATCGACGGCTAACTTTCTTTTAGTACATCGTGCACCGTGCCTATGGTCTCCCCTTCACCACTTCGGCCCAGATGATCGACCGAGATACAATCTTCGTGCCGGCCGGATGGGATAGCGAAAAGAAGATTGAGATCGTTAGGGTCAGTGTTATTCTGTGCAAAGTTTTAATGCCATTTTCCCATTTCCAGACGAACATCACCGAAATTGACGTGCTCGAGCCGAATCGCGAGAAGGTGAACGTCGTCAAGGAGCCCGAGGTCACCGCCGAGGACACGCAGGTTTGCTCAGTTTCATTTCTGGGAGTTTACAGTCTTTTTTTGCAGGTGTTCCTCGCCCGGTTCGCCGACATGTTGGCCAAGGACTTGGCGACGAATGGGCAAAAGAAGGTGGATGATGCCGGGGCAACGGCTTCCGATTCTCCATTGGCCAGCTTCTTCTCAAATCTGCTAAAGGTACTAATCTTATTCCCTTTTCTCCAATGGACAAAAACGAGGCGCGGGATCGAGCCCGCATTTTGCCGTTCTGCTTTCAATTTTTGGTTAGAATAAAGACGGTTCGACCCCGCCCCCTCCACCGGCACCTTCACAACTCGCATTTCGTCGTCCGGTATTCAGAAATCGCTCTTTCACTCGCTTTTTCGTTGTCGATGGCTGCCGCGCGGAAACGCGCAAAAAGAAAGCATGTTGAACGGCTGAATGTTGTGAGGGTGGTGCTCGTTGCGCAAAAATCATTCCCGCGGATCGGCCGATGTCTCGGATTTCATTGCCCATTTATCGTTTTCTCTTTTTCAGGACAAACCACAATCGACGCGGACAGCCGCCCCCATTTCCGAGGAGCAGCAGCAGGCTCAAATCGAGAAGATCTTCCAGGTAAACCCATTCCTAATTTGCGATAATTTGTCGGGTTGTTTAGAAAAGCGACGAGACGGACAGCGCGGCGTAGGGCAATCGACACGACAAATAAGGGAAAAACAGAAGAAAAAATGTCATAATAGAAACCCATTTCCTCGTGTCTGATTTCTATGCGCTTGATTGTGATTAGCAATTCGAAAAAGCCCCGTCTCTTGTTATTTCTGGTCCTCGTATCCGCGTTGTTTCAGTTCCATTTCTCCATCTGCTCTCCCCCCAACTTCAGAAACGTGTATGTCCCGGGCGTGGCTTTTCCCTTTGATGTGCAGAGCTTTGACATTGCTTCATCCAGTTTTTGCTTGTACCCTCATAATAAACTTTTTACCAACTGGAAGCCGTAAATTTTGCCGGGCAACGGTGCCATGGCGGGCACCCGCACGAGAAAACACAATTCCAGCATGGAAGACGTGATCGAAATGGAGAAGGTCTGCCGGGCGGCGTCTCGTTCTAGACGTGAGGAGGCGGGGCGCTGTCCGTCGATTTTCGGCTCGTCTCGCTGAAATCAAGCCGTTTCTTCTTGACGTCTTGACGCTACGCGCAACTGCCACCCGCCCTACACAGCTCGAATGCTCGCAGCGTTCTGGTTCGTTACCGGGGGCCGGGGGGCATTTTTTGTCAATAGCTTCTCTTCCTCTTTGTCTCTTCGAGCTTCGCTTAGCTTAGGAGTAGAGCATTGCGCTTGATTAGTCGCGAAAAACTGACCAAGTAACCAAAAAAACCCCTAAACAAATTTTGCCCCCCCCCCAAACTTGAATAGTACCAAATCCTTTGTTTTTTTGATGCTCTACTACGTGATGCAATAATGAAAAATCTACGCGATCAACCCCCGCTGCTAACGAACCAGAACCCCCAAAAAACGGGACCTGGCCGACCCGAGGGCGGTGAAGACGGCGGCCGAAGGAGGCGGGGCACGCGATGCGGTGGAGACGACGGTCTGCGTGCTGCACAGACTCGGGGCCGGTGAAGCGTGCATATTCCGAGTGGGGGCATGCAACGATGATGATGACGAGGATGATGAGGATGCATGGTAACCACCAGGTAATGGTGGCAACGCATCAAAAACCGGAACAGGCGGAGAAGCAGCGCGGGGAAACCGACCGAGCAACGCCAGCCGGTCGTGCGCCTCGATCGCTTGGAAATCTGAACTTTTCAAATATAAATTGTGTTTTTAAAAAGGCTTTTTGCTATTCCTAAACGTGAAAAATTCACAAATTTGATTCAAAACTATCAAATATATCCATCTTTCGACCAAAAAAGCCGATTTTTAAGCAAAATTTCGACTTTTTCGACCGTTTTAAAAGTTTTTAGATGGTTTTCTAGTTGAAATTTAGTTATAGATTACTAAAACCGCTATTAAAGTACCTCCTATAAACTTACGAGGCATTTCTCGACCTATACAAAAAGGTTCGGGTTTTTTCGGCGTTTTTTAGCGTTTATCTGCCGGAAATATTTTGTTATTTTGCTCAAAAAAAAACGCTTTCAACGTACTTTGGACAAAGTTACTAGGCTTTTCTGGGCTCTTAGGAAATCCCCCCCCCCCCTGTTAATGCGAAAGCACCAAATTTTGAGAGTGTGAGCTTTGGCAGGCCGTACTACGTACGCTCGTCGATGCTGTGCCACTGGAAAAGGCAGATCCACACGAGGAATTGGTAGGCGATGATCACCGACACGAAGAGGGCCGTGTTGAAGAACGACCAGAACATGTTCCACAGGCTATCCTCATCGTCGCCATTCTGCCTGCAAATCGAGGGTGCGGATTTCTGGCTTTGCAAAAGCCAAAACAAGGCATTTGCCTTAGGTGCTTTCGCATTATCGGGGGGAGTAAATTTTTGTACGAGTCTAGAAATGCCTAGTAATTTAATAGAAAGTTTTAATAGTTTTTTTGAGTAGAATAAAACTATATTTCGACTAGCAAAACTCTCGCAAGACTTTAAAAACGTTGAAAAAGGCGAAATTTTGGTCAAAAATCTGTCTTTTTCGGTAGAAAAATCAGTTTTTTTATACAATTTGTAAAGTCCCCCCGATACTGCTCAAGCACATTTTCCTACTCAAGGTTGTTGGTTCTGGAGAGGACGTATCGGGGTCGAGGCACGTCATCGGCCGTTGATTGTCGCGTGCCGAGCGTGTGGTTCAGCCAGTCGACCAGGGTCTCTGCAAATTCGATGCTTGCCATTAACGGTTCTGAGCTGTTAGCGGGGGGGGGAGTACGACGACGGGATGACGTACCCAGCGGGCCGTGCTCGAGGTTGATGAGCAGCGTGCTGGCCAGCCCGTATGCCGACTCATCCGGGCCCACCATCCGCGACTTGCTGTTCGTGATGAATCGGAGGCCGTGCACGAAGACGTCTACAACAAAATAGGGGAAAGCTCTCTCTCTTTTGGGTTCTGGACTGTTAGCGGGGGGAGGAACTAAGGCTGAACTCCAGATCCCCCCAGCCGACCCCACCTGCCATATCTCGGCTCCCTGTTCATCTACAGGTGTGTAAAGTATACCAAAATACTCGCCAAAGCAAGACGAACATTTTGGTATACTTGATACACCTGTAGATGAACAGGGAGCCGAGATACAAGCGCCGGGTGCCGGCTTGGGGGTAGACTGCACTCTAACCAAAAGTGGTTGTCCCCCCTGCTAACACTCCCCGCCCGCTAACAGTCCAGAACCGTTTTTTTGCAGTATTGAAGCGTATACCCTCTCTGCCGATGCAATGCTTGAAGCACATCGCATTCGCGCGCACTAGATCGGCCTCATCGTCGTAGTGGACAATGATGTGCGATGATGTCGATTTCCAGGATGGCCATTCACGATAGATTGTCGTCACATCGTGGCAAAGGTCCCCTACAAAATTCGGGTTCTTTCCCATTAGCGGGGGGGGAAGATACCGAATGTTAAAATATCCAAATTATTATTAAAAAAACCAAAGTACTCCTTTTTGCGACCAAAAATCGCAATTTTTGGGTCAAAATTTCGACGTATAAACTGTTTTAAGTTTTTCGATAGTTTTTCTGGTAGAAATATAGTTTGATTTTACGAAAAAACACTAATAACGTACTTTCTATGAACTTACTAGGCATTTCTAGACTTACAAAAAAAATTACGCCCCCCCCCCCGCTAACAGTCCAGAACCAATTTAGGGTTACTAACTCGAGAAAAGGCGCGGCACTTACCGCGCGAATGATTGGCGGTGCTGAGAAATGGGTGGATGGCGGTGGTGTTGTTGTATGGGGGGCGGGTACACTCGAACTCTGGGCCCAGCTTCATTCGACGGCCTGCAACGCAAACGTTCAGATTTCAGAATTATTAGAGAGCATGGGCCGACTTAAGCCTAAGCCTAAGCCCAAGCCTAAGCGAAGCCTAAGCATGAGCCTAAGCCTAAGCCCAAGCCTAAGCGAAGCCTAAGCCTAAGCCTAAGCCTAAGCCCAAGCCTAAGCGAAGCCTAAGCCTAAGCCTAAGCCTAAGCCTAAGCCTAAGCCTAAGCGAAGCCTAAGCATAAGCCTAAGCCTAAGCCCAAGCCTAAGCGAAGCCTAAGCATAAGCCTAAGCCCAAACCTAAGCGAAGCCTAAGCCAAGCCTAAGCCAAGCCTAAGCCTAGTCTGAAAATTTAAAATTAATTCTAAAAATTTCGGCAGAGAGAATTTTTCCTTGTACGGAAATTTCGGTGTAATCGTCGTCTGCGTAATGAATTTTCTATGGAATGAATTTCTGCGTAATGAATTTTCTGTATAACGTTACGAAATCGAGCCTTTTCTACCTTTTAGCGTGTTGTGGGCCATGGCGACGTGGAGGTAGACGCGATTGTGCTCCGCCTTCACTAGCGCCCCCAGCTGGTTGTACACCGTCAACAACTAAATGAGACAGTATCCTCCGTCTCTCTCTCTCTTTCTTCTCTCTGCTAGCCTGCCCCCTTTCCATTTCCTCAAACAATCTCTGCTAGCCTGCCCTCGAAAACTCAAGAACCAACCATCAGGGCATTACTGACGTCCTGGCTGCGCGGCAAGATGACGAGCTTTGCGTGTCGATCGGTGAACTGCTCGGTGCCGTTGAGGTGATCACTGTAAAACAAAATACACCCACGAAATGGCGAGTAGAAAAAGAAACGAACCCGTATAAGGGGATGATGAGCGGACGAATGAGACTGCACGTCGACAGCTGGGGCGGAATGGCAGAAGCCAATCTCTGGCCGGCCATCATCACGGAGAAGTACACCAACATCAGAGGGAAAAGCCACCGCTGGGAAGCGCCCATCATTGTCGCGCGCTGTGAGACGATTTGCCGAGATTTCGGAAAACGCGAAATATTCGTCGCCGATGGAATTCGGAAGTTGGATGCAAATTTCTTGGACATTTCGGAGAGAGCGAGCGAAAGAGAGAGAGAGAGAGGAGAGAGAGAGAAGGAGAGAGAGACAGAGCAAGATAGAGAGAAGGATCGAGATAGGGAGAGAGAGAGACAGAGAGACAGAGAGAAATAGCGAGAGAGAGCGAGCGAGAGGGAGCGAGCGAGAGAGACAGAGAGAGACAGAGAGTGAGAGACAGAGAGAGAGTGCGAGACAGAGATAGAGAGAGAGAGAGAGAGAAGGAGAGAGAAGGAGGAGAGAGACAGAGCAAGATAGAGAGAAGGATCGAGATAGGGAGAGAGAGAGACAGAGAGACAGAGAGAAATAGCGAGAGAGAGCGAGCGAGAGGGAGCGAGCGAGAGAGACAGAGAGAGACAGAGAGTGAGAGACAGAGAGAGAGTGCGAGACAGAGATAGAGAGAGAGAGAGAGAGAAGGAGAGAGAGGGAGAGAGAGACAGAGAGACAGAGGGAGATAGCGAGAGAGAGCGAGTGAGAGAGACAGAGAGGGACAGAGCGAGTGAGAGACAGAGACAGAGAGAGAGAGAGAGAGAGAGAGAGAGAGAGAGAGGGGAGAGAGGGAGGGAGGGGGAGAGGGATAGCACGCGTGAGAGAGAGAGAGAGCGAGCGCGAGAAGAGAATTTTCGTATCTCGGCTCTCCTTGGATTTACAGAGCTGGAAAGTGTACCAAAATGTAGCCCTTGGTCCGTAGAGTAAGACGACCGTATTTTTCAGTCGAAAAATTACGCAAAAATTTGTGCAACCAGTTTAACGTCTTTAAAATTGAGCCAGGCCTAACCGATGTCACCGCATTGGGTGCATTGTGACATGCAAAGCCCGTTCAAAGACGCGGTTTAGCGCCCAAAGCAGTGCATTTCGATCTTAAAACGTTTTGTTTTATTGAGAGGCAGTGTTGTAAAAGAAAGGCAGTGGAAATGGACGAATTATTTGATATCTGATCATGCGTCTTCTTTCGATTCTTCGAGCTGGATGTCTTTTTCGTCGTCGCTTGGCAGGACGGGCGCCTCGGGGAGGGACGGTCTAATAAGGGGTATAAATTTTGTAAAATAGGGTGTTCACCTCGTTTTGTCCAGCAAATAGTCATCGTCATCATTGCCGTCGGTCGGCAATTCTACTGCGGTTTTAGATTAGAAAATGAGAGAGCGGGAGAGAGAGCGAGAGAGAGTGAAAGAGAGCAAGAGAGAGAGCGAGAGAGAGAGAGAGAGAGTGAAAGAGAGCAAGAGAGAGCGAGAGAGAGAGAAAGAGAGAGAGAGAGAGAGAGAGAGAGAGAGAGAGAGAGAGGCTAACCTCCATCGTCCTGCGTCGCTTCTATAAGAAAAAATGCCCATAATTAATTACAAACTATCAAACCTTGGCTTTCCGGGACCTCGTTCACCTCAGCCGGACCTGCGCCAGCTCCCATTTCTAAAAACCGGCTTATTTTATCCAAAAAAAAACCCGACCAGGTGCCGCATCTGGCCTCGCGCCGCCCCCGATCTCTGTAAAAAACGTCGTTAGGGAGAGAGAGTGAGAGAGACAGAGCGAGAGAGCGAGAGAGAGAAAACTAGCTTCAAAACCCGCCTGAATCCGGTCGCTCCTCACCCACTTCCGGCTCCGCTCCGCCACCAATATCTGGAAAAAAGCTTGCACAGTCGCTGCCATATTTCACAAAGAAACTCGGCTAGTCTGCCCGGCCTAAAAGCCTACCCTGGTCTATCGTCCTCCGGCTCGGCACCTCCACCGATCACTAAAAAAAGCCCGAATCGCTGCGCCTAAAAAATTTGCATACCAGGTCTCTCCTCTTCGGGTTGTGGCGCCGCGGGACGTTGATCTGGCTCGGAGCCACCGCCGATTTCTGGCTGAACTGGTTGATTTGGGGCAGCGCCACGACCAATATCTAAAATTCGATTAAAAGGTAAATTTCCTAAAGAATCCCCGCTAGCCTGCCCTTTCCTAAAGAATCTCTGCTAGCCTGCCCTTTCCTAAAGAATTTCTGCTAGCCTGCCCTTTCCTAAAGAATCTCTGCTAGCCTGCCCTTTCCTAAAGAATCTCTGCTAGCCTGGCCTTTCCTAAAGAATCTCTGCTAGCCTGCCCTTTCCTAAAGAATCCCTGCTAGCCTGCCCTTCCAAAATCCAAACGCACCAATTGACGGTCGTCGATCCTCCTGTTCGAAGTTGTCGCTAAACATGGAAAAATAAGGACTATAACACAAGGTAGATGCTCTCAAAGGTAAGGTATCACAGGTGCGAAAACGGTACCTATTGGGCTGTTTCCGGTAGACATTCCCTTGATAGTCGACGACCGTGAGGCCACGATCGACGCCCGGGGAGAGAATGTGGGCGGGCAGAGATTGTTGCCTGAAACTGGGACGTTTCTCCAATGATCTCTGCTAGCTTGCCCTCAATTCCCCAAAGATCCCTGCTAGACTCCCCCCTGGCCCCTACCCATTGCCAGCCGGTGCTGGGATGACCGGTCCTGGTCGCAGCACGCGTACGGGACGCTCCACCTCCCGACCGGCCGGGGGATTGGGGCGTAGTCGTTGTTGATGGGTGCGCGGGTCGTAGCCGCGTGGTGGTGCCGGCTGAAAAACGGTATTTCGTGCTTCTACCATCATTTAGTGGTACCTTCTGGCCGTCGGATCGAATATTGGCCGCCCTCCACATTCGATCCATTTCCGGATCGTACTGCGAATCATACGGGTTGTATCGACCATCATACAACGATGAACGGGGGTCAAACCTGAAAATGCACATGAATATCAGCCAAAGCTAGAAATTTCAGGCGACGTACATAGGATCGTAGTACTCGTAGCTGGGGTTGGTGCGCGGATCCTTCAGTCGAGCGTCGTTCGGATCGACCTGGGCGGAAGCCGGCTGCTGCTGAGGGCAGCTCTGGAATTGGATGTTGATCTCTCACTCTCACGCTCACTCTCCGTTCTCTCGCTCTCTCGCTCTCTCGCTCTCTTTCGGTCTCTCTCGCTCACTCTCTCTCACGCTCTCACTCTCTTGCTCTCTCTTTCCTCTCACAAACTATCTCTCTCACTCTCCGTCTCTGTCTCTCACACGCTCTCTCTCGCTCTCTCGCCTTTCACAAACTATCACTCTCTCCACTCTCTCTCTCTCTCTCTCTCTCTCTCTCTCTCTCTCTCTCTCTCTCTCTCTCTCCCTCTTCTCTCTAACCACCTCAAAGACGTTTCCATCTCGTGTCTTCACTAGAGTACATCCGGGTCGACTGGGCACATTCTGCTGATGATTCTCGGGTTGTCGAGGCTCTAGAAAAACCTCGATGAACCTTAAAAATCGCAAAAAAAAACACGAAAAACCGACGTTGAGGACGTGGCTGTGGCGGGTGTTCGGGCTGAGGGTTGTACACTGAAAAAACCAAACCGTTTCCCAAAAGCAGGTACTACTGCAAGAACGGGGGGTCGGGTACTAGTTCAGTACCAGGGGGTTAGGTACTAGTGCAATACCGGGGGATCATGTATTAATGCATTACTGGGGGTATAGGTACTAGTGCAGTACCAGGGGGGCGGGTACTAGTGTAATATCAGGGTGTTAGGGTACCGGGGGAGGTACTAGTGCAGTACTGGGGGTATATGTACTGATTCAATACCCGGGGGTTAGGTACTAGTGCAATACCGCGGGGGTCGGGTACTAATGCAGTACTGGGGGGTCAGGTACTAATGAAATACCAGCGGCCAGGCACTAGTGCAATATCAGGGGGCAGCTAATATAAAACTTTGCGCGCGCGGGTGGATTACATGTCGTAATGCCGCCCCTCTCCCTCCTCCACTGACCTTGTCCAGGATGTCCGGCCCATCCCTCGGCATGTCGCACGTGCGGGTCACTGTAGGCTGATGCCTAAAAAGGGTAGGCTCGTCATGGGGAGTAATCTGTGATACCAAGTACGCGCCAGTCCGCTCGGGGCCACGTTCAGCGGTGGATTTGCGAAGGAAATGAACACGGGTGTCGAACTCGTAGCCGTCGGCCTGAAAATTGGGCGGATGGGTTTGGCGAGAATTCAAAGCGTTTCCGGGTGGAGGGGTCTAAAACCCGGAGAGGGCCCACCTTGATGATGTCGTCGTAGTTTTCGGGGAAGACGCCCTTGAATTGACGGGCACCACGGTCAGGGAGTTGACCATCACCGTATGAGGTCTGAAAGAGAGCGGCTAGAGATAGAGGGAGAGAGGGGGAGAGAGAGAGCGCGCGAGAGAGCAAGAGAGTGCGATAGAGAGCGAGAGAAAGAGAGAGCGATAGAGAGCGTGCGAAAGAGAGAGCGAGAGAGAGAGTGAGTGAGAGAGATAAAGATAGATAGAGAGGGAGAGAACAAAATCCAACCCCAGTGCCATTCGTGAAGCTGGCAATCTTGTGATTCGTGAATCCGACGGCGTCGTACGAGTTCGTCTCGCGGCCCGACACCCAGCGGAACCTGCAGAAGACCATTGCTTGCCCCAAAACTCAACCCACGTGGTCCCCTGCTGCGCGTCTTGGCGACTGCGCGACAATACGCGGAATCCGCCGCACACCTCGACCACCTCGTCGTCCTGCCCCACGAAGTAGCCGCACACCTGGGAAAGAAGTGTCAGGCTAAGACTAGGCCGAGCATAAGCCTAAGCCTAAGCTAAGCGTAGACCTAAGCCTAAGCCTAAAGCTAAGCCCAAGCCCAAGCCCATGACTAAGCCGAAGCTAAGCCTAATCCTAAGCTATGACTAAGCCAAAGCCAAAGCCTACGCCTAAGCCTAAGCCTAAGCCTAAGCCTAAGCCTAAGCCTAAGCCTAAGCCTAACCTAAGCCTAAGCTTAAGCACAAGTCGGAGCCTAAGCCTACGACAAAGCCCAAGCCTAAGCCTAAGCCTAAAGCGAAGCCAAAGCCTAAGCCTAAGCGACTCACCCTTCCGTCGGCCCGTCGAATCGCGTGCCCAAAAGCTTCATAATGGCCCGAGCCGTACTTTGTGCGCGTTATCCTTAAAACTCGGGTTACAAAATCATTTTAAAAAATTTAAAATCGAACTGTTTTTACTATTCCTAAACGTGAAAACTTGCCAAATGTGATTAAAAAATACAAAAATACCGATTATTCGACGAAAAATGCCGTTTTTTGACCAAAATTTCGGCAAAAAAGTTGTTTCCAACTGTTTTTTGATTGTTTTGCCACTTGAAATATCGTTAAATTTTGCTAAAAATACGGTTAAAACACTTACTATTACGTTGTTAGGCATTTCTGGACTCTACGTAAAATCCCCCTCCCCCGATAATGGAAAAGATCCTAGCTCCGTTATTACCAGTACGCCACCCATCCGCGCGCCTCCGATCCATCGGCATTCGGGATCTAAAAAAAATTTTCGTCCACAAAATCCCCTCCAAAATACCGTTAAAAAGTCGGCGGTGGTCTTCCCGTCCCGGATGTTGCCCAGATAATCGATCACCGTCCAGTATTCCTCGCCAATCTGTAAAATATCGTATAACTTTCCTGAAGGCAAAAAAACCCTTTCTAACCCCAAAAAAGGCCAGGTGAGACGGAAAGTCCAGATAACGACATTCTAAAACTACAGTTCGAGTTAAAAATAATATTTTTGGCACAAAAAATATATTTTTATGTGTTAGAAACCCCAAAAATACGAAAATTTCGACTTTCACGAACTTTGGTTGCTCCAAATGGAAATGGACTGGGCCAACCTTGTCTCATCGGAAAAATTCAGTCCCACTCCCCCCGCTAAGGCCCAAGAACCGGAAATTCACCCATATGGCCGCGAGCGGGGCGCAGAGGAGGGCGAAGACGGCAAGCCTGAGCTGCATCACTGCAATTGGGAGCGTTGAATGCGTACCAGTGTTTTTAAGCGGAAAAGCAATCAAAAAAACAAACAATTTTTACCCGAAATTTTTGTCGAAAATCGGCCATTTTGGCCGAAAAATTCGATTTTTTTTTTGTATTTTTTTTATCAAAAATTTGTTACGTTTTTACCTTTAAAAATAGTAAAAACAGTAAAAAATCTATTTTATTAGAAAAATGGAGCCTTAGAAAAAGTTTGTCCCCCCGATAATGCAAAAGAACCTTCCGCTGCCCGATCAGCCGTTCATCTCACCCAAGCCTAAGCTTAAGAAGCGTAGTCCAAGCCTAAGCTCAAGCCCAAGCCCAAGCCTAAGCCTAAGCTTTAAAAAACATTCGTTGAATTTCGTGAAACAACCTCGAAAAAATCGGGGATAATCACAAATTTTGAGAAATTAAAATTTAGATTTGACTACTTGTGTTTTAAATTAGAGTTGTACGAGTCGAAAAAGTCACTGCAAGCCAAGAGACCCTTATCGCGCGCCGATCCTCTCAACAAAGAATCTTGACACTTGCGAATTGCGTTCCACCCACCAAATTCGGTCTGTAGTTGTTGCAAGACTTTTCAGCCCTTGTATTACTCACGCCAAAAAGCCGCAGCCGGGTGGATTAGGCTGGTCTGGGCCAACTTGCCGTGGCCCTGATAAAGCCCGATGACAATTGACGGGTGGGAGGGAATGCGTGGGAGTGCTGTGGAAAGATGCGTAAAATTGGGGGGTTACTCGAAGAGCAGGGCAGCGCAATTGACCGTAAGGTCATCCCCGTAACGTCGCGGAGCGTCGCGTTCTGGCTTTAGCGCCGTAAGGCAGCGTCGCGTAGCGTAGCGTAAGATAGCTTAGCGCAACGGAAACGTGGCTTAGCGGAACGTAGCGTAGTGGTGGAGAGTGGCGTAATCGCCCGTAATTTCGTGTACCGTAGCGAAGCGGAAGCGCAGCACTACGTCCTGTCTCTCCGCGTACGGCAAAGTAGCGTAGCGTAACGGAGCGCATCGCAACGGAAACGTGGTTTAGCGGAACGTAGCGTACTGGCCCGTAATGTCGTGTACCGTAACGTAGCGGAACGTAGCGTAGCGCCGCGGCCCGTCTCTCTCACCATTAGGCAACGTAGCGTAACATAGCGTAGCGCAACGGAAACGTCACGTAGCGCAACGTAGCGTGGCGGAGCGTAGCTTAGCGGAACGTAAATGCTAAGTTCACTGAACGTTTTTAGCGTAACGTAGCGTAGCGCAACGGAAGCGTGACAAAGCGTAGCGAAACTCAGCGTAGCGTAGTGTGGCGAAACATAGCGTAAGGTAGCGTGGCGTCGCGGCCTGTCTCATACTGCCTAAGGCAACGTAGCGTAGCGACGCGTAGTGGAACGTAAGGGAAATCAGACCAGCAAACAATAGAAAACCCATTTAAATCCAAAAAATACAAAAAAACAATAATTGCAAGCATGGGCTAGGCGTAGCGCGCCGAGTGCCGTTTCGTCGAGTCAGAATTTCAGATAACAACTCCCCCCGGTGTAGCCTTTTTGGCCGGGGGTTTAGAAGACTGGCTGAGAAGGGGGAGAATCCGCTCCACATTTCTCGAAATATCAATAAAAAGCGCGACAGGACCCGAGAGGGGGGAAATGGCTGATAGCAGACGGCCGAAGAAACACACCGAATCAACACTTTTCCTATTACACCACACCCAAGTGCCCCGCGAATTCTGCCCCGGGGGGGGGGGGATGGACCGGAAAATTCAGACGAAATCAACGATTTTTAAATTTCAAAAATAGCCCGCCGCACCTTGGAATCCTCCGAAAAAAACGATATTTTGGCGCGGCGGACGGCGAAGCTTGCAAAAAATATTCGCGGTTCTTTGGCATTACCGGGGGGAGGAGAGATCTTTAAATTTAACTAGCTGAAATGGTTCTAAACCGTTTTCCACGATTGTTAAACGGAAAAATTCCTTTTCTAAAGTTTATTACAGCGCAAAAAAATATAGATTTTTCGGCAGAAAAGTTCTCGAATTTCCAAAATCCCAACTTTTCAAAATCGCTAATTTTCAGGGGCCCGAAGTTTGCATAGGCTGTATATGCGAATGCCAGCGATTTTCGAGATTTTGGCAGAACCCCGACGGAAGGCTTATTTTCAAAATGTCGAAATTCATAATGTCGAAACTCATAATGTCGAAATTTCAGAATGTCGAAATTTACATAAGCTAAAATTCCCGGTAAAGTTCCCAAATTCTAGGCAAAAAAATGTTGTCGTGCAAAAGATAAAAAAATAGAATGTGGAAAAAAATTTTGGCTAGGATTTGGCGGTTTCACCGGTAATTAGCCTATGTAAATTTCGACATTCTGAATTTCGACATTCTGAATTTCGACATTCTGAATTTCGACATTCTGAATTTCGACATTATGAAATTTCGACATTATGACATTTCGACATTATGATACCAATTCCCGACGGAAAACCCTCAAAAAAAGGAGCCAAGCCTGATGTTGTGCGGAATTTTGCCCTGATTCCGAATCCGCTTTCAGAATCTGCGAAACGGCCAAATTCGAAAAGTCATGAAGCTTTTCAGGGCCAAAACTGCAAAAAATTGTTGAAATTGTTCAATTTTCGCCTTTAAAAATGCATAAACCACCTACAGAAATTCCAAAAAACCCACGAAATGTCTGGGTGTTCGAGGGTTGCTCCCTTATCTTCTTGCGGCCATTTTTGCGTGTCTAGCATTCCGGTGGACGCGTGGGGTGGCTGCCGGTTGCTCGAGTCAGACTCCTCTAAAAGTACCGTTTTTGAAGGAATAATACCAATAAAATATGGCGGTTAATTAAATGTTAAGGGAAATCTACAAAAAAGCCCGGTTCTGGTTCGTTAGCGGGGGGTATTATCCCAGATTTTATGATATTTTGATTCTTTCGCATTACCGGCAGCCACGTTTTCTGAAAATCCAGAAATTAATTTAAAACAATTTTTGGTACTATTTAAATTTATTTTAAGGGAAAAACACCTTGGTGGAAATTCGGCCGTTATTGGGCCTAAAACCGTTATTTAGGTATTTTATGAAAATTTGTAAAGTTTTGTATTTAGGAATCGTAAAAAAGCATTTCGAAACACTTCTATTTATCTTATGAAAACTGGTCAAAAAGCTGCCCCCGATAATGTAAAAGAACCGAGACGCCAGCCATTTTTCGGTATCATTACCCAGCAATCCGTTTCGAACAGGAAAAAATCCATTAAGATTTTTAATTATAGCTGAAAACAATGTGATGAGAAACAAAAGCTTTAAAAGCCCCCCCCCCCGTTAACGAACCAGAACCAATAGCCCGTTATAAACTTTAAAAAACGGCTAAGGCATACGAAAATTGACGGGGGCATGGATTGCGACGCCGCGACACGCCGCCCTTGCGCGCCCTTTAAATGGTAGATCAATTGAAATTTAAATAACGCCAATTTTAAACTGAAATGTATTTAATCGTGGAAATGGCCCCTTAACGAATGCTTCTTTATTACATTATCAACGAAGAACAGAAAACAGAGACCAAGGAAAAGCAAAGAGGGTGGGAGAGAGAGAGAGAGAGAGAGAGAGAGAGAGAGAATAAAAAAACTCAACGAAAAACAGGGGAAGCCAATGCACACAGTCAGTAAATGGAAGGGGAGGTGAGAGAGTGGATAGAATGGAGAGGGAGCAGAGAGATCGAGTACTCGCAATGTGACACGGACATTGTACAATATTTTCGCATATCAAAAGAGTGGGAAAGACTAGACTACAGAACACTACAGACTACAGACTACGAGAGGGTGAAGGGAATATTCTAGAAGCGGATATGCGTCAGGGATCATGATCACAGGGTGGCAGAGACCGGGGAGGAGGAGCCGTCGTCTACATTGTGCGCACTGCCGAGTCGGCCATTTGCAGGATGAAGCTGAAAAGGGAAATTGGAGATTTGTAGATATCCGAAGCCCAAGGATTACTTTAAAAATGAAATTAATTGTGAGAATATCGACATTTTATAATGCCGAAATTTAAGATCGAAAATTCAGAAAATCGTAATTGATAATATCGAAATTGATAATGTAAAATTTCAGAATATCTAAATTCATAACGTCGAAATTGCAGAATATCGAAATTCAATGCCGAATTTTCAGAATATCGAAATTCATAACGTCGAAAAACGTAATCCCGGACACTCAGAATTTCGAAAATTATCACGAAAAAAATTCGATAATATCAATTTACATAATAGATCTCGCAGAAAAAAAACCGTTTTCGGCATTATCAAATTCCGACATTACGTTAGCAGATCGAAGCCCACGGGCAGAACGTACCGATCGAGCCAGGTGACCGATTTCGGGGAGAACGATCCGCCCTCCAGGAATCCGAGATGGCCGCCATGGGCGGTGAGCACGAAGGCGACACCGTCACGTTGCGAGCACATCTCCTGGAAACGGAAAAGATGGCGTTACTTTCAAAATGCTGAAATGCATAATGCCGAAATTTACGGCGCTTTCGCATTATCGGGGGGGGGGGCAAAGTTTTTTCAAAGAATAGATTAGAAAATTTAATTTTTAAAAGAAAAATTGTGCAAGTATTTCTAAAGCGTTTTTTGCTATTCCTAAGCGTAAACAATAAAATTTTAAAAATAAAAAATGCCGATTTTTAGACTAAAAGTTGACGATTTCGACGAAAATCCTACTATATATAAAAAAATAGTGTCTGTGTGTGTGTGTGTGTGCATTTGCATGCAACTTCCGTCACCGTGTTCCAGTAGTATCTCAAGAGGGGAAGTACTTAGGGATATGTTCGATACGTCATTAGATGCGTAACGGCCTGGAGATGACGGCACACATATCAGATTTTACAAAATATGATGTTTTCGACATTAAAATTAAGTTTTTCTTCAAAAATCGGACACCCCAATTTGTTAGGCTCAAATTAGCATACCCCGGAAGTCGCGGTAGCCTATATAAAGGGACGGCAAGAGCATTTTTCATTTT